AGTGTTGTAAATACAACTTAACCACTGATTTCTAGTCGTGTCCATTTTTGGAAGGCCAAACAAAGTTGTTTCGCTTTCACAACGAAACACAGCATCACACACGGTGGCCTAGAGTGAGCAGTGGCGGCCTAGAGCGAGCAGAGGCCGGGGCTTGAGTAAGGAACGGCCAGAGGGCTACAGTGAGCAGAGACGGCGGGCTTGAGAACGGCGCGGTCGGCGGATTCGACGAAGGAGCGGCCGGAGGGCTTGCGGCAACCACATGTGACGAACCGTTTTAGGGGGGTGTGGCTGACTCTTAACTTTTATAAATAATATCTCTTTGGATTTGAGACTTTAGTCTTTGCAACTTTACAGATCTTCTTTATGCACCAAGAGCTTGTAACACTCCAAAGAGAAAGGAAAAATTTAAATCGCATCATATGACCCCTTTAAGAAGCAGTGAAATGGTTATGAAACCAGGCATGCACTTGTCACTTTGTATTTCTACTGATCAGATAGCTATCCGATTTGTTCAAACTTTTCCATTTACACATTGCCACATATCCTAAATGTCTCCTCAAAACGAATATAAATACGATTTTCAAATCCTGCGCTATGTGCAAATTAAACACAGTAGGCTACACATCACCGAACGCAATAGATATACACTGCATTTTATTCATCATCAGCTAATTTTAAGATCAAAGACCGCAATAGGAGAGAGGGTGTCATCACTTGTGAGAGAATAGGCTATAGTCTTACTATATAATAAGATGACTGTGTTTTGAGCCCATGGATGTTAGAGCCTTGCAGATTCGGTTGCGGATTGATTCGTTAAATGCATACCTCACCCTCTCCCTCCTTCATTTTTTTTTTAAGTTAGACTTCAACCGTTTGCTCAATCTATTCATTATAAACAATATAGCAAGAAAAAATAAAATGTAAAACAGTTTTTTTTTCTCTCTTTTTTTCGTTGGTAAAAAAAGTGTAGGCTAAAATGTCACTAACGACCTGAGGGATGTAATAGTGTAATTATTTTTTCCTGCAGATCCTATATAATTAAATATCCGATGACTCAATAAGTGTAATTCACCTTTATTCCTCAAGATGGCAATGTTTGATAGACAAAGATGACGTGATGTTTTACTACCGCAAGCATAAAACAAAATATCAGCAGCAAAAACTGAACTGGCTTGAATGGCTATGCTGCAGAGCAATTACTGTACGCAATTAAATATAAGTGTCACTGTCATTTGATGGTGGATGTGGTGAATAAGCGAACAAAATATTGATTTTGAAGTAATTGAAAACGATAGTTTTGAGAATATGTTTGAGATCGCGAATATGAGCCAGATGCTGAATGTACTGAGGGAGCTACATTGAGCACTTACCCAGTAGGCTACCCTTATAAGTTTCAAAACGTAACGAAATATGCTTAATTTTATTCTTTTGTAATTGTTATTGAAATATCAGGAGAGTTTTATAAAGCAAACAAACAAATAAATAAACCTTATGAGTGAGCATGACCCTGGACTCTACTAAAACAGTTCACACTTCAACCCCCCCAATGTTCAAACCAAAACTACGCCCTTTATGTTAGGGTTAGATTTAGGATACCGAGGATTGGGGTTTAATAAATATCACTTCTGTAGCCTATAAAACACTGCGTCTATGATTTGTCCCAATTAATATAAAAAATCAATGTGTGTGTGAGAGAGAGATTGAATGAAGGACATTTTATTCATCCAAAGATGTATAGGCCTACTGGGAGATAATAAGACTAAGATTAGTTAGCATAATAACAGCATAAAACAGCTATAAAAATCGTTATGAAACTAGTGCTATGAAAACAACCGAGTTTTGCTTATGCCAAGGAAAAGAGCCATGGGTTCAAGGATGGCCAAACAATACATAGCAATTAAAATTCAAAAGAAAGAGAGAGAGAGATACAGCGGGTAAAATAAGTAGGCTATTGAACACATCACCATTTTTCTCAGTAAATATATTTCTAAAGGTGCTGTTGACATGACATTTTCACCGGATGTCAGTAACAATCCAAGTAATCCATACATACAAAGAAAGCAAAACAAATAAGTTCAGAAATTATGTTGTGTAAAAAAAAAAAAAAGTAGAATGACACAGGGAAAAAGTATTGAACACATGAAGAAAGGGAGGTGCAAAAAGGCATGGAAAGCCAAGACACCAGCTGAAATCTATCAGTAATTAGAAAGCAATCCTGCCCCTTGTCAGTGGAAATTAATATTAGTTGGTTTAGTCCCATGACCAACGTGTCACACAAGAAACATTTCATGATGGGTCAAAGCAAAGAGCTTTCTCAAGACCTTCGCAACCTTATTGTTGCAAAACATACTGATGGCATTGGTTACAGAAGGATTTCTATACTTCTGAATGTTCCAGTGAGCACTGTTGGGGCCATAATCCGGAAGTGGAAAGAACATCATTTCACCATAAACCGGCCGCCATGACCAGGTGCTCCTCGCAAGATTTCTGTGAAAATAATTATCAGAAGAGTTGTCCAAGAGCCAAGGATCACTTGTGGAGAGCTTCAGAAAGACCTGGAATTAGCATGTACAATTGTTTCAAAGAAAATAATAAGTACAGTAAGTAAGTAATGCACTCAACCGCCGTGGCCTGTATGTATGCACACTCACCACGCAAGTCTCTAATGCTGAAGAAAAAGCATGTTGAAGCTTGTTTAAAGTTTGCTGCACAACATTTACACAAGCCTGTGAAATACTGGGAGAATACAGCACAGAACTTAATTTCTGAACTTATTTGTTGTATTGTTTTCTTTGTATGTATGGATTACTTCTGGTGAAAATGTCACGTCAACAGCACCTTTAGAAATATATTTACTGAGAAAAATGGTGATGTGTTCAATACTTATTTTACCCACTGTATGTTTTCTATATATATTATTATTTAGGTGTATTTGGGAAATTGCAATTTAAAATGCAATTACAAAAAAAATAAAAAGGTTTGCTGTGCTTGTTTGTAGAGTTCCGCAATTTGGCTCAAATGTGGTTATTAAATATAAATTTGATTACTTATTAATAATACTTAAAATAATAACAATGCTTATTATTTTTATTATTATTTATAAGAATATAAAAAAATTAAATGTTACTCTTAAAACAATCCACTGTAAAACAAAAAAACAAAAAAAAGGTTTTTAAAATAAAATCATTTCATTTTACATGGTTTAGTTAAATGCTTTATTGGTTTTGATGACAAACCATCAAAGAAACGCATAAATATTATTAATATTAATTAAAAAAAGATATTACATTTAAATTAATTTTTTACAGTGTTTAGTTTTAAAGTAGTATTACAATCTTATTTTGTGTAATGTTTCTGTTTCATAAAACTCACAATAAAATCGTGATTATTATTTTATAGTCATGTTAAATTGGATAAAAACAGC